ATACATGGACTCAGTAATGCAAAAAGATTTCTTACCTAACTATGAAGTGAGAACAACTATTTTTCATCATAAACATAGAAATTAGACTTTGTCAAGTAATGCTCCAACTACAACTTAAAGTGTTAGAATATGAAATTACAAAATGACTAAAATTATTCCCATCTGTCATCTTCTTATACAAACAGTTTTTCAGAGCCATTTGCTACCTGATATAACCCAATAGCTTTTATTAAATGATGTGGGTTTTACCTCACATCACTGTAATTTACTTTAATTTTGTTGGCCATGAAAAAGGAAAATCATTTTAGTAATGCTTTTCTTCATTTCTTTGGCAATAGCATGATCTTGCAAAGTATAAAAGATTTCTCAGAGTTATGAGACAGCAAAAACTCAGAAGCAGAGTGTATGGAACAAGCAAGAAGATCCAATGAAGACGATGCAGAGGACTAAGGATGATTAGAATTAGCTTAACTGGGCAAGGACGATTCTTTTTTTTTTTTTTTTTGGTACTGGGGATTTACCCCAGGGGCATCTAACTACTAAGCCACATCCCCAGCCCTTTTTATTTTGAGATGTGGTTTTGGTAAGTTTCTTAGGGTCCTGCTAAATCACTGAGGCTGTTTTTAAACTTGCAATACTCCTGCCTCAGGCTCCTGAGTTGCTAGGATTATAGGCATGTGCCATGGAGCCTGGTTAGAGGACAATCTTCATTACTAAATTCAGTCCCACTTCAGAAGATTTAAAAATATTTGAGGCTCATTTTTCCAGAATGACCTTAACCTCTAGAGTGACCTTGTGTGCCCTTTCTCATCAAATAGCAAACTCATGTCATGACTACTCAATGTAAAACTAAGTGAAATATGCAACATTATCTGGATTTCTGGTAGCAGCCAGGAACATGTACAAATGTAAAAAGAAGTCAAGTGTGCAGATTATGATGAAATAACTTGGTTTCAGTATAGATTCTCATGTAAAGTTAAATTTTGTAACTCAATTAAAATCCCTCTCCTTTCCTGGCTGGAAAATAAAAGGTAGAGAGGGGAACAGCCAACTTTTAGCCACACTCACAGAAGAAAAGGAAATTAGCTTATGTAAAGGATGTTATATACCAACTTTCATTGTAACATTAAAAGAAACAAACCAGATGGAGATTCAAAGCAGAAAGAGATTTTGAATATTACAAATTCCAGTGGGAGCCACTATTCCCCAGAACCTCAGGGATTATCTGATTTCTCAAAAAAAGGAATTTAGTGAGGTCCTGTAGACATGCTCTGTTTCTAGCCTGAAACCACATCAGAGGCACTGTTTGGATAAAGAGTATATTATCTTAGAAAACTAGACTAGTATCTTTGATCTCAGTAGATAGACTTCTTTCTAGTGGATAAATGGTCTTTGTACTAAGACATGACATATGTATTAAATTACATAATTTAATATGCACATATAAATATCAATCCTGAGGAAAGGAGACTGATTTCTTTTTCTTTTTTTTTTTTTTTTTGGGGGGTGGGGGTGGGGTGGGGGTGGTAGTGGGGATTAAACTCAGTGGCGCTCGACCACTGAACTGCACCCCAGTCCTATTTTTGTATTTTGCTTAGAGACAGGGTCTCACTGAGTACCTTAGTGCCTTGCTTTTTGCTGAGGCTGACTTTGAACTCGTGATCCTCCTGCCGCAGCCTCCCAAGCCTCTGGGATTACAGGCATGGGCCACCAAGCCTGGCAAGGCTGATTTCTTAATGCATGCTTTCTTTCACTATCTCTACTATCTTGCCTGAAATTTGCAATTGCGTATTCCTAGGTTCCCACCCCATTGCTCCCTTAGAGTAAATCTGTTTTTCCTTGGTTTCACATCTTGACTCAGGGCTTGGTATGTCACATCTGCAGAGTCTGCCTCTCTATCCCTCCCCCATTTCTTGGTTTTATAAGGATGAGGCAGGCATTCAGTTCCTTTGCTTCCCATGCCATAATGAGATTTCTTAGGCTTGTTGATTACTCTCTGTCTACTTTTATGAATAAGGACTCCAGGATTCAAGGTCAAGATACATGTCATGTCTCTTAATTTCCCCAATTCAGCTCTTTAAAGTTTAATACTCTTGTGCTGTATCTGTGGACCAATTTCTACCTCAATTGATATCTGATAGTTTATAGTCACTGGAGCCAATTTATTTTTTTTCTTAACCAGGGCTTCCCAGAGAGTCAGTGGAAGATTTCATGTACTCATTGAGTATTGGCTGGAAGCTATGGACGTAGGCTATTCTACAGTTTCCAAAGATACCAAAGAAAAAACAAAACCTAATAACACCAGAATTTTCTGTGTTATTGTAATGGTAGGAATATGACAACTATCGTTCAAAAAACCCAGAAATCCAAAATAGTAATATAGAGTTAATTCCTTAGGTATAATGAAGAAATTAATAAAAGTAATAAAGAAATAGAAAGGATGTGCCATATTAAAGTAGGACTGTAAAATTTGAAATGATATTTTAATGGAATCATCCCAACCTTCCCATAAGAGCTAGTATTTCATTTAGCATTCCAGAAATTTCTAGCTATTCAAATGCTCTACCACTGAGCTACACCACCACTATTATTTATTTTTATAGAAGCAGCAGGATGAAGGCAAAACAGAGATTGTTAATGAAGACCAAGCAGGCTCACCAGTTAAGATGCAGCATGGCTTTTATTTGGATGCTCAACACCAACTATAACAAGGAAGCAATATAGATGAGGGGATCCTTTTTTAAACAGAGAACTAGCACAGAAGAATTTTCCTTTCAAAAGTCAACTGTGAAAAGAGAAAAAGTAGGATGGCAGGAGATCAGGCCACAAACCAAAGAATTAGGATGGGGTGAGAGTGGAGGTCCCTAGTGTTAAGTACATCTCACCAGCAAAGAAGTTCTGCAAAAAGGGAACAATTTCTGCAGATATATTATATGTGGACCTGGGGAATAAAGCTATTTATACCCAGCTTACTCAGTCATTAGAAAGAATAAAAATACTACTCTGAATGTGTGCTTTTGTGTGAGTGTGCATACGTGTGTGTGCACATATACACACATGTCATGGTTGGTGGGGAGAAAGGGAGGGAGAGAGAAAACTAAGAAGTAAAAACATTAGGCCAATGACACATATTTGGACAATATGAGTGTGTGAGTATTCAATTTTGGAAACTGAAATTTTTGAAACCCTTGAAAGATCAGCCTTTAAAAAGAAAAAGAAATAATATTAAGATATTGAGAAAATATTCCCTGTCTTAGGAAGAATTCAGCATAATCTTGTTTTTAGTTCTGCTGTGAACATACATTTATGTATATGTGTGTATACAAAATTTGATTTTTGCAAGTAGTTTATCATGTCATTTTGTTCTCCCCAAATGGCTATGCTTATATGATTTCAAACCTTTAACTGAATATTCACCTGAAATATCTTTTTTCCTTCCCTGAGTTCATTGAACTTTACCATCTCTGAATCTAAATCGCAGCCCAGGATTACCTTCCACACACTCTTTTATTCTCCTGAGTTGAAGCACAACAAGTTTCTGTTTGAAAGGGTCCCAGTAATTAATTACTGCTCAATGAATAAAGAAAATATAGGTCAAATCCTCTATTAATGGAAACTTTTGGCTTCCTCTATAGCACCAATATCATTCTAGCCTCTTCCATTGTGTAATAGTGCTGGTTGGGTGGAGTTAACTCCACTCTTACCTCTATAAGTGGGCCTCGATTGCCTAAACTAACCAGTGGAATTCCACCTCTCTACCTATTGTTCAGGCCTGGAGCTTGTCCAACCAGGATGAAACTCAGCACCTGCTGGGAGCCATTAGCCAAGTAGGTATGACAATTTCCTTGCCAGCGTACCCCATGTTGCTGACATGTTGCAGCGACATTGAATGTAGGTGACCTTGCTCAAGGACCAAGGCAGATTAGGGTGTTCCCGGTTTTAAGATAAATCGTGTTTAGGGCGTTCCCAGTTTAGGTTCCAGGTTTAAGGTTTAAGATTATTCCTCCTGGGAATAGGGCGTATCCTGCTGCCTGAGTTCCCCTTGAGTTCTCACGTGATTCAGACAGTATATTTTGGAGATAGAAGCCCAGAGAACGTGGATTTGGGCAGAGAACGTGGATTTGGGAGAGAACGTGGATTTGGGCAGAAAACGTGGATTTCCCCAGAACGTGATTGTAGACGGCTGGTGTGAGTTCGGGAATAAAGAGTTGCTGTTTGAATCTACAAGCTGTGTGGTGGCTCGTGATTGTGTGCCCAGCCAGACTGCGGCATTTGTGCCCAGCCAGACTGTGGCAAGCACCTTTCTCTAGAGTTGGGAGAAGTTCTCTCTCTTTATAGAGCATGTGATGTGCTGAGGTAATGACTGGAACTACTGCAATTAATTTGCTAGTGTGGGAGAAGCCAGATTGAGGGTAAAGCCAACACCCAGAAGGCAAGGCATCACTCCAAATTGGAGTCAGAATTCTGATCAAACCACACTGAAGCCACAGCCACTTCTGGAGGATACAGTTATTTAAGCCTATATATTCCCTTTATGATTTCAACAAGAGAAGGATATTTCCTATAACTCATATGCCTTCCTATTATATGTTGAGTTCCCCCCATTTTTAAATCCTTGGGATCCAATATGTAATTTGTCTTCTTGAAACTTAATTCATTTAGAAAAATAAAATAATGGCACTTTCAGATAGCATTTACTACCCTAGTAAGTTCATTATATATTTTTGCTGCTTTGCTGATTATTGAAATTTATATTCACAAGTGGTAAAAGAGTAAATTTAAAAACTCTTTATACCATAATTTCTGTTCAAAACAATTAGTGTTCTCTTACACAGTAGTGACATGGACATTTTATTAATTCATATAATAAGCATTTTCTGAAAATTTAAATTCATTCTAATTGTGTGTAGATGAGTATGTAGTGTACATAAACACTTGGCAAAAGATTAGCTTTGTTTAACATTCCTCAGTGTTTCTTGAAATCTATTAAACATAGATACCTTTTCGATGAAACTGAAGAGACCCCAGTAGACAAATGGATTTTAGCATCTCTGTTGTGTACATTTCTAAGCAACACTGCAGTTGGATATAAAGCCGACAGATTTCTGGGTGTATCTCACCATCTTCCGGGCTGCAATAGAATGAAAGAGAAAAGCTGTGAACAGTCTCAAGATTTCACTTATCAGCCATTTGTCTCAGCTATGCAAAGGGAAAATGCTCAATAAGGATTCCTTAAAGCCTAGAGTCTGAAATATAGGGCTTACTGCTTTCAAACCAATAATTGATGTGACAGCTCTTATATAAGTATTTTTCTGACTAACTGCTCTTACTTTTTCCTCCCTTCAGTAGCAGATTTCTTCTGGGAGCTTAAAATCATAAATGCTTTAAGTAATTGAGAATATCAGACATTTTCAATTTAGCCATTTGTACAAATTTCCAAAATATACTTAAAGCATAGTAATATCCTAGCCTGTAAAAAGAGATAAAAAACTCTTGTTTTTAGAGAAACTACCAAACTCTATTAAATTAACGTTCATAAGACAACTCTTTAATGTTAGGGCACCAGCATAATATAATTAGAGTGCTAATTTACAAATTATTTTTATCAAGGTTCTTTGTCTGTGTCTTAACGATATTCTTGTATTGTTTTCTAGGACTAATTTATGAAAATCCCAAGGTTATTAATGAAAAATAAAAATTTTGTGAAAAAAGAAAAATAATCAAGTTCTAATAATTATTCTTAATAATCTAAGCTATTATTTCCAAACAAAATAGAATATGCTGTATAATGTAAACTAAATAAAAAAGCTAAAGTTTAAAGATAGACTCTAGATGAAAGCCAGCCTGAAAGTGAACTGTCATGTGTTCTAATGTATTGTCTTTACTTCTATCCTCATTCATTAAAAATGCAATGAAGTCTTATTAAACAATGTAGTATCTGGACTTGATTCCTTTGTTAAATGGGTCAGTGGTGAATGTCAGGAGTAATTATTAGAAACAAAAAGGTGGCTTCATTGTATAAAAGTTCTAAAATCATAGCAAAAATAATTTGTATGTACACTGCACATGACAATGACAATTAGTCTTCAGTTCCAATGCTTAGTTGATGAGCAAAGAGTTGAACCATATGGCTTATGCAGTGCAGGAATATTCACAGTTCTTTGCCACAGTCATCCTAGGTCTTTCCTGTGTCAGACAGAATAAAGTGCCTCAGAGAACTTGAATGCTAAATTTGGCTTTATCTGGAAATTAAAAGACTACCTTACTTTCTCATTTGTTTCTCATGGATCCAGCCCTAGACCAACACTGGGTCTGGGCTGTGATCTGGGCTGAAGGTCTCAGGTTTTCTTGCAGGGCTTCCTCCCACAGGTGTTTTCTACTTTCAAGTTCTCCATCAGGAGTTTCCTCTAGGCACATGCCACCAGCCACACACACTCATTATTTCAAATCATCTTCAGCCTTTGGAAATGTCTCTGTGTTCTATTCCCTGATGGTCTTTCTAAACTCTGAATGGTTAATAGGAATTAACAGTTCCCATAATAAAAGGTGATCTTGGTATGTTATCTGCTAATAGATTGCTTTTCATAGAAACATCTGAAGATAATGTCTTATTCCCAGGGCACACTAGGAGAAGAATATTTTAAGGCAGGCAGGTCTTCTCTATGCTGCTTCATCATCCCAATTGCAGCTGCCTGTTTTCACCTACGCATAGTACTGGTCCTGGTGGCTCATATGCAGATTAAAGAAAAAAGAAACAGAACCCTATAAAAAAATCTGTTGTATGTATTGCACATTTTATGTGTGGGACAATTAGCCAGTACAGTTTCATTCCAATCCATGGGGTATTCTTATTTTCAGAGTTACAAAATATGTGCCTAGTGGCTTAGTTCCAAAAATATGCAAACTTCATATATAGATGACATTTAAGCAAATGACTACTGTGTTAACATATCTTAAGGTCCAGTATATTTTATTATTTTACAACTAGAGAGAAATAAAGTAAACACTCTGAGAAAAGGCAAGGCAAGTTGGAACAGATTCCTATTCAAAACGTTTCTGTAGGTGACATCTCCTTAATGCCTCTATAACCCATGGAGATCTAGAAACTGTGAAACTACTCTGCCCCTCAAAAAATGTTATGGGAAGGAACAGAAGAGACACCACCAGATATATAATCTGCCTAAAATATTAATTGATGCTAAAGATAAATTTTTAAATCTCTGGTTAAAACATTCATACATATTCTTTCATATACTAGCTTTTCATATCTTGGAAGATCGAAGTATGCCTATAGGAACTAGTTAAAGAGCAGTGGAAATGCTAAGATATCTTTTATGTTAGCGTTTCAGGAGCCTAGAGCAACATATAGTAATCTCTGCACTTGTACAATTTATATCTACCATTTTAGAGCTCTAACATACATCACTGTTACTGATTACTAAAAGTACATCCAGAGACATTGTCCAGTGAATTATAGTATGTCTAATGTTATAAACAGTGAACTGAAAAGAATTTTTGAGAAGGATTAAATACATTAAATTATTTTCATAACAAATGAATAAGAGCTGAAGTATGAAAATGGGCAAAAAGCCAAAAAATATCAATTTATCTTAGGGATAAATTACAAAACCCAAGAAAATATTTAATTGTAATAAAATTAGACCTCTGAACATCCAGCTTGAAGGTGTCTTGACAACATACTATGTTTGCTCTAAAAAGCTTCACTCTTATTAATCAAAGTTTAGGTCTGTGAGAGTTACCCTGAGGTGATGCTCATTTAATTCAATCAAAGGTTAGGATTATTTGTTTATTTTTCTATTGAGTCTAAGTCAAGAGCTAACCTGACCATTTTGATTAATGTCAAAGCTTCAGTGTTTATAGGAAAAAAACCCCTGAAAATTAGTTCTGACAAAGTTTCAGGGCTAAAGTTAAACCCCAAAACATTTAAAATAGACACTGAATTATGAATCTGCTTTCAATCAACTCTTTAAGGATGAGAATCAGGATTTAATGAATGAATTATACAGCTTAAGAAACCCAAATTGCTATAGTAACAAGAGGACATGAACACAGATACTGCCTTAATCCCCTTTTGAAAATGAGACTCTTTTCAATGTGAATATTCTTATAATTCAAAAAGTAATATGAGAGAGACCTGCCCAAATGGGTAAAATAAAAATGATAACACCAAATGTTGGTGACGATGTGGAAGAACAGAAACTCTCAAATATTGTTGGTGGGAGTTAAAATGTTCAACACCTTTCAAGAAAAGTTCTGGAAGTTTCTTACAAAACTAAATATACACTTATCCTATGACCTGGCAATTCTGTTTCTAAATATTTGCCCAAGAGAAATGAAAACATTAACACATAGATATCTACATGAGTGTTCCTAGTACTCATCTTAGAATCACCCCAAACCAGAAACAGACTCTGTGTCTGTCAAGAGGAAAATGGTTGCAGAAATTAGTATATTGCTACAACAGAGCAGTATACTCAACAATTAAAAGTAGTTGACTCCTTTAAAATAACATGGATGAATCACTAAAACCTCATCTTCAGTGAAAAAAATCCTTTTACAAAAGACTAAGATAAAACTTCATTCACACAAAGTTCTAGAATAGGTAAAAGTAATTGCTGGAGAAAAATCTTCAAATAGTATTGGGGTCTGACTGGGAAGGGAAATGAGGAGACTTTGTGGGATGAGGGTGATACTCCATATCTAGACAGAGATTTGAGTGACATGGGTGGGTACTGAATGGTACACTTAAGTTATTGAATTGTTTCACTTAAGATTTGTATATTTTATTATATACAAAGTTTACTTTCATACTGAACTGTAGTTAATGATATGCATGCTGAATTGTTTAGAGGTAAAATTTACTGATGTCTGCAACTTCAGAAAAGTTTTATGAATTTTTGATGGGATAACAGGATGAAGAGACAGGTGGATATATAGTAAAGCAAGTACATTAATAAAATGGTGGCATCTCAGTGGTATGCATTTACATAATCACTGAGGATTTGCATTTCCCCCCAAAACTACATGGCATAAATTGAACAAAACATCTGGGAAGATTTATGGTTTGTAAGATTAAGTTCAGGAGTTACACTGGGATTTTAGTTGTGGAATGTCTTGGCCCTGCATCTGTCTGCTCTTTCACTAAGGTTGCCAGACTTTGGCTGTCTGTGTAGCCGCTAAGAGGTTTTTAAAAACCAGCAAAATGTTTGTTGCTTTGATAGTCCGTTTGTGTATTTAGTTGAAGGCAGTAAGACAAAGAAAGGAAAATGGGTTCTTGAGTCAGAAAACTTAGATTTAATTTAACTGCTTAGAATTGTGATCTTAGGAAAAAACATTTTTAACTTTTCTTGAGACTCAGTTTCCTCCACTCTGAAACAGGAATAATAACTATACAAAGAATCTCAAAGTTACTGCACAGATCAAATGAGATCATGTGTGGGAAAACAAGTAAAAAATGTGAAGGATTGTAAGAAGTTGGCTGCAATCCATTTTACATCAAAATTGTGTTTACTTAGCCTTATGCTCACATATAGTCCTTAGTTATTGAAATCCTCCACTATTTTGTAGCATTCTTTATTTGCTTGCAGTTCTCAAGTAGAGACTTTGGTTAAATAAATGTCCCATTAGGCTGAGAAAAGAAGGTAGTGACCCCATTGACAACTGCTCAACATTTTGCAGATTTTAGTGATGACAGATAAATATATGGCATTTGTCAGCTAGCAGAGATGGAAACCAGAACTCCTGCTGCAGCAAATATATCCAAGTTTCTCTTTTTGGAAGTAATTACGTTTTTGTCTATTAAGCCAAAAGGCAAAGAAAGACATAGGAAGCTAAGGGGAATGAGGGAAGGGAATGGTATCCTTTATTTCTCAGAGCAAATGGCTAGGGAGGAATCAGAGATTACATGGCAGACTGAATGATCTCCAGGATGTCTCTTCAAATATCCCCCCTGGTTCCTCTTAGGTACATAGGAATACACCTAATTCTGTGCCAACTTCAGAGTTCAGCCTTCATATGGTTTTAGTGAAGGAGATTTCCTCAAGGTAGTCCCTATTGATTATAGGTCTGTTTAAGCAATAGACAATCAGGGGAAAAGGAGGGCATGATCCT